CAAAATAGTGTCTTTTGACTCTGTCACACATTCTATGTGCCACTGCCTGATAGAGTCCTTAGTCGCTCTTTCCTTCAGCAAATGTTTTTTCTTGGAATGGGATGAAAATCAATAAAATTTGGAAATGACTTGAAACTTGTTTAAACTTATCTATATGGCCCAGATAGTAGCCAAGGAACATGTTTCCTTCACAATCAAAAGTGGCGGGGGAAAATTATCAATTTTATTCAGCATCTAAATTGTGAGTAAATGACGTCATTTACTCAACCCAATTGTTCTATCTGCTTTTAACCCAAAATATCTCAACAGCGAGTGGCTCCCAGGCTAAGATTTTCACTAATCTGGTTTACATAGTCATAATTGAGTCATATTATCCTCAAATACTTCAATTATTTGGACTTTCAAAAATCAGGGTGTTGTCATCCAAGTGCCCCTTTAAACTTCTTTCTTATAAGTTCCACAAGATGACCCAACCCTCTTTTAACAAACTTCTGAGAAGCAATGCAGTCTTACCCTACAGACCTTAATAAACACCCCTTCCCAATAATAATATCAATCAATACCATGTTTTGTACCTCCTCTTCAGTTCCTTCTTCACCACTTTTATATCCCATCATACTTTTCAAGCATGAAACAAAACACTCCATCTCCCCCTGCGGAGATGTTTGCATGGACCACACTGATTGGTCAGTTCTTTGATTGGCCAGTGAGTAGAAAGAAAGGATAAAACGAGAAGCAATAGGAGCTGGTAACAGGCATTTGATGGACGTTATACACTGTGAAACTACAAAACATGAAAAAATATAAATGAAATAAAATAAATATAAATAAATGAATAAAATAAAATAATAATATAAATTTAAAATAATTATTATTCTTGGTTGTTGGCCACAGTTTTAATCCTTTACGCCGCAAGTGTGCCATATGGCTCATATGTAATTGGCTCAAATTCTTGGGATTTTGGCAGCTTGTAAGCATGGTCCCTGTGGGGCATAAAGGGTCAATTGCTACACGCTGATTGAGATAACAGTCATGACATGGAAAGTGGACAACACACTACAGTTTATCAAATATTATTAGAGTACATACAGAAGGTACATGGAACTGTGAGAAGGTACATGGAAAACTACTTGACTACCAATTTATTTGATTGACAATAGTCTATTGCCAGATTTCCATGTCATGACTGTTGACTCGCTGAGTGTGACTAGAAATGAAAACAGTGATAAATAGGGTGATAAATATTTCATTTTTTTAAATCATAATCAATCACATACCTGAAGAATTTTTAGACAATGGAGGAAGAGAAAGTTTGTACAGAAGTCCACCAGGAAATACCTTTAACAAGACAAAAAAGATGGCATGGTTGTACTATTACTAGCATTTATTACGTAGTACTACAATAACTAACCCTTTCTCAGTGATCATACTCCAATTATAAATATTGATTTAAAGGACTATCAATAATATTAACTTGTCTATATACACCTAATTGAAAAAACGTAGTCGGGTTCCAGAAGGTCATATCATCGAAGCTAAGACCAAAAAGGATTTTGGGTACTCTGAAATTTGTATTATATTTGCATATATACATGTCAAAATGCACAGTAGAGCAAAGTCSGTCGACCTAGATTAACAACATGCCAAAGCCATGATTCATAAAATGTGCACAGGAAGGGAAAACTGCAATAAGCATGAAATTAGCATAATTATTTGTCTTCCCATGCTCCCCTTCGGTCTTAGCTTTGATGATATAACCTTTTTTTGAACCCCGACAACATTTTTTCAATTAGGTGTATTACTACGCCATTTCTAAGTTTAGTAAAGGGTGCATCAGATCTGGTCTAGCTTGGGTACAAACATCTAGTTTGATTATAAACTTCTGTGAGAGTTAGGGCACCCAGTCTTTATCCCATACAAAGACGTTTTTAGTGATTATGAAGCAGTGTTATATTCTAGTCTACCATTGACGAGAAAGACATTCTTACCAGATTACAGCCTAGAGGTTGATGATCTCTTAGTGATTGAATGGATTGTAACATTCCAGGTTTTTTATCACTATCTGTATTTAAAAATAAATAAATAAAACAAACACATCAAAAATGAATGAATAAATAAACAGCCGTTGTGGATGAATGAACAATGAATGAATGAATGGATGGATGGATGAATTAGGGGATAGATGAATGAATGGATAAGATGGAAATATAAATGAATAAATGGTCATGAATGAATGGGTGGATGAATGCAGCTACATCACTGTTAGGCCAACTCTGATACTTTTACACTAACTATAAAGAAAGTACTATGAACATTGCAGTTCATTGTATTGTGAAAAGTGTATGTAAAACTGTCTGGTAATTTTACACTAACTTTTCTTTTATTTGTTGAATGGATGACCTGAAGAGTGACACTGTTCTCAGTAACATCTAATAGATAATCATCTCTCAATCTTATGCTTTGTTATCAAAAAACTGGAAAGAGTATTACAGAGTTATTTATAGTACCTGTGGCTTCAATGGCAATTTCTTGTGGAAGAGAACCAAAAGACAATGCCTAGAAAAATATGAGTATACATTTAGTTTACTTTACATTAGCTTATTTAGCAGTGTGTGGGTTGGTACTCAAGCCTGCATGCCATGCTAAATGTTTGACTGTCTAACATGGTCATGATAAAAATGCAATTTGAATTTATTTAGAATATTAAAAAATTGATTTTTAGTTTTTGTTCCTTATATTTTCTCATATTTAGGTCAATTTATGTATTTTTTGGTAAAATCAAAGAAAACTTCTTTTGACCATGGTTGACCGTGTACTGTATGGTCATAATTATTCTTTGACCATGGTCAGACACCATCGTTAGACCACAGTAGTCATAACATGGTTGACCATGGTTGACAATGAAAAAACATGGTACCATGGTCATTCTAACGCAGGAACACCTAGAGATTGGACAGGACTATAAATAGCACTACTTACATCTTCTTTCTGAAAAGAGGGACTCAGCTGTAAACTTGAAAGTGTAATTGAACAAGCCTGAAAAAATGTTAAATTTAGGGTATATCAAGGAAAAGATTGGACAGAAATGATCATATGGGATGAGATGAGACTGTTCCAATCAGAATGAGGACTACTTGGATTTGGATTGAACATTGAAATAAGACGCATTTATTATAATGCAAATGAGGATTGATTTTTTCATGTCAATCACATGCTAACAATGTTGTATGGGATTTAATTCTTAAAGTAAAGGGAATCTATTGTTCTACCATCTAACATAGCCACCAGCAAATGATCATGCAAAAGTTTCTAAACTGTTTTATAAAAAAAGTTTATAAATAAAGAAAATGTAGCTTTTTTGAATCAGTACCTTAGTTTGTCCACTGAAGAGACTTAGTGAAGAATCCAATTCTAGCACTAGCATCATGTCCAGACCCTAAAGATAAATGGATAAATAGTCATTTGCAGTAAGATTGTTCGGCAGCTACTAAAACATACACTGAACTATTTGACAACACTACACTATGTCTATCCTTCATAAACCATGTACTAGTAAACAAACCAAACAAATAGTCATAAAACTTGTCTTTGCAGTAAGATTGTTCGGCAACTACTAAAACATACACTGAACTATTTGAC